TGTATTAAGGGCATTGGCCCATATCTTACAATATAAATAAATTACCCTATGTGTATACAAAACACACAAGGGATATTTTCTCCCAATCTTCTCTATTTCTCATACTTGCCACACGAGAAGAGGAGGACGTGGCACTAGAGGAGGAGGTCAGGGACGTCCTCAATGCACACACTATAAAAGGATGGGTCACACTCAAGAGAATTGTTACTCCTTACATGGTTTTCCTTCCAAGTACATCAACAAGAGTATGTAAAGTTAAAGTCTAATAGCGTGGCACAACCATCTCAGTCTCTCAGTACATCAACAACCTGCATCTCTAAATCCTTGGAAGGTCAAAATTCATGGGTAATTGACTTAGGTTCTTTTGATCATATTTATGATAATATCTCTATGTTCTCATCTATTTCCTTTCGTGAAAAACCTCAATTCATAACCCTTGCAAATGGATGTAAAACGTCATGCAAAGGAGTTGGTCATGTTTCCTTGGCTTCCCCTCTCAATCTCAACTTTGTCCTTTTTGTCCGTAATTGTCCTTTTAATTTAATTTCCCTAAGCCAGTTAACCTCCTCCCACGACCCATGGTGCAAATGACTCAACATGGCCTATTGCCCTCAGAAAAGGTACTTGTTCCACTCGAAACCCTCATCACATTTATAATTTTCTTAGCTATCATCGATTATCGCCTCCTATTTTTCTCTTTTATCCTTAGTGTCTTTTGTTGTTATACCTAATAATGTGAAAGAAGCAGTTGATCATCATGGATGGCGACAAACTATTATTGCAGAAATGTATGCTCTTGACCATGATAGTACTTGGGAGCTAGTGCCCCTTCCTCCGAACGAAAAGACAGTTGGTTGCCAATTGGTGTATGCAGTTAAAGTCGACCTTGATGGAGAAATTGATTGGCTCAAAGCCCGGTTTGTTACAAAAGGTTACACTCAAGTTTATGGTCTTGATTATTGTGATACTTTCTCTCTTTTAGCTAAGATGACTACTATTCGCCCCTTCTTTGCCATAACAACCATTCGTCACTGGCCACTTCGTCAATTGGATATCAAGAATGCCTTCCTACACTGTGATCTTAAGGAAGAAGTTTATATGGAGCAACCTCCTGGGTTTGTTGCTCATAGAATACTCATCAACACAAAAAGGATATAAATGCTATCACCCACAATCCAAAAAATTGTGTCTAGAGATGTCACCTTTTTTGAACACCAATGTTACTTCCACCAAGATCATCTTCAGTGGGAGACTGCAAGTAATGAAGATGATCTTCTTATGCTCCCTGACTTAATTTTAGGACCAAAAATAGGGACTAAAAGTGTAACAGTTGAGAAGGAACCCACTCAAGATGGAGCTGATGTAAGATTTGGGAAAAAATGGATTTATACAAGGAAGACAAAGGCCATTCCAGAATCTGTCCATGACCAACAATCCAACCCAGCATTACATGAGGTAACTAACGTTAATCCTTTAATCTCCATTGAATCAACCTTTGATTTTCATAATCTGCAGGAACCCGAATCCAGTTCAACTCCACTTTATGAGGACCTAGATATTCCAATTGCCCTTAGGAAATAGACTAGGAAATGTACCACCAAGCCGCTATACCCTTTAGTCAATTACTTATCTTTTAAAAACTTCTCACCTACTCATAAAGCCTTCCTCACAAGCCTAAACACCACAACACCACCTAGTTCTTTATATGAGGCATTGAGTGATAAAAAGTGGAAACAAGCCATGGATGTGGAAATGGAAGAATTAGAAAAGAATAGTACCTAGGATTTGGTTGCTCTCTCAAATGGAAAAAAAACCAGTAGGGTGCAAGTGGGTATATACTATAAAATACAAGGTTGATGGGTTCACTGAGAAGTACAAAGCAAGGTTAGTAGCTAAGGGATTCACTAAAACCTATGGGGTGGATTACATGGAAACCTTTGCTCCGTTGCAAAAATGAATATAGTTAGGGTGATATTATCTCACAGCTAATTATGGTTGGAACTTGTAACAATTTGATGTTAAAAAGTGCCTTCCTTCATGGAGAAATTGAAGAGGAGATTTACATGGAATTGCCCACTGGATATATGGGAAAAACAGCTGCCAAGACTGTTTGCAAGCTAAAAAAGACTTTGTGTGGGCTGAAGCAATCACCATGAACATGATTTGGGAGGTTTACTAAAGTTATAATAGGTCTGGGCTTTAAACAAAGTCTAGGAGACCACACTCTCTATGTTTTTCTCATACAAATCTTTATTATTTTATTGAGGCCATATTATACATTGAACTTTTAAGAATTTACCATACTTCTGTATGTGCTACAATTAACTGCATTCGTGGCATATCTAGTATAGGGGGTTTGGTAGGTTCTAATATACAAAAGTCCTTTGGTGCTAATTTGTTTTTTTTTTCAATATTGAGTAGGGCGAGGCTGAAAACCTTCATCTCATTTCTCACTATGTTTTTGACTTGTTTCATTTTTGCCAGATTCTTAGGATGGCTCCTAGGACTTTGTTTCAATTAGAGGAAGCAGGCCGACATTACTGTGAAGATCATTGGGATGCTCTCAAAGATCAACATAATGAAATTGATTATCTGGATTTATTGCAGTATTGTTTCTCTTCTGCCTATATGCTGGCTCTATTACATGATGTTCTTGGGATTGCTATGGAAGAGAAAAGGTATTGCTACTGTATCAAAAATATATGAAACTTGGAAAACCTTGGACAGAAGTAATTTGATTAGTTTCATAGGGAAAATAAAACAAATATAATATTAAGAAAAAATTATATAAAAATTGGAGTTACAAGTATGTGTTTGAGTTGATTTAAAGTGGGTGAATGGTCAACACACTAGTTCAAGGTGTAATGGTTTAACTATGATCAAGTCAATATATATAAAAGAATAATACTAATTAAATAATATGTAACGTAATTAAAGAAATTTATATGTTCTAAATGTAACGTGGATCTAATGCAGACCACACATAATGTATTTATAGTTGTTGGAAGTCACACATCGACTAGAGATAAGGCCAAATTATAATATATAAGTGAGGTGCAAACCTCACCTTATAAACCGGTTTTGTGGAGTTGAGTTAGGCTTAAAGTCCACTTCTAACATGGTATCAGAGCCATTGTTAGAGTTTATCCTAGCGAGTTCTAAGTGAGCATTCTATTCTTCTATTGCACCCGCTATCGGGCCGTTATCGGACCACCCAATTTCTACGATCACGCACGAGATATCTATACCTCGGCGTGAAGGGGGTGTGTTGGAAGTCCCACATCAACTAGAGATAAGGCCAAATTATAATATATAAGTGAGGTGGAAATCTCACCTTACAAGCCGGTTTTGTGGGGTTGAGTTAGGCGTAAAACCCACTTTCTAATAATAGTATAATACATAATCAATCGTAATAAATACACCTAATAATTAGAAACCAATTATCCTAATTTCTTAGATTATGTAACGCTTAATTTCCTAGAAATATGTAACAATTGATTTTCTTTTAACACTCCTCCTCAAGTTGGAGCATATATGTCATGTGTACAAGGCTTGTCACAAATGTATTCAATCCAAGGGCCTTTAAGGGACTTGGTGAACATGTCATTGCTAGAGTTGACAAAATCAATAGTGATTTCTTCAGAGAGCACCTTTTCTCTAACAAAGCCACAATCAATTTCAATGTGATTGGTTCTTTCATGAAAATCAGGTTTGATGCAGTGTGAAGTGTAGCTTGATTGTCACAAATAAGCCTTGTTCCATGAATGTATCCTATTTTTAGTTGTAGAAACAAAAAGGAATGGCATGTTCACTAAATGCGGAAACAAAAAGCTCCATAACAGAAAAATACAACTCATCAAATATAGTGACTACTGACAAAACAGGAAATACTAAATGTCTTAGAAACATTTCTACTTGGCGATGTAGTTTGATAGGTTTCTGGATTGGAAACCTATCTAATATGCACTCACTCACACTAAATAACCAGAAAAGAAAGTATAAATTGTATATTTTTGTATTCAGTATAGTAATTACCCACTCAACAACCTCCAAGAGAGCCAAATACTCTCCCCTCCACAGGATAAACGTGATCCTGTCTTTACAGTAAAACAATCAAAAAGTGTCCAATATCATAATGCTCTTTTATAGGAGCTTTGTTTCCCGCCCAAATACTAATACGGTTATAACTACCTAACGCTTCTCCCCCGCTTTATTCCCTTTCCTCTTTCTTTCATAAACTTTTCCAATCTGTTGTATTACTTTAAAAGGCCCAAAGTATCTTGCTGATAAGTTGGGATGCAGCCTAGTTGGCATGGAAGCTTGCCTATGAGGCCTAATGTTTAGGTACACCCAGTCATTGACCTTAACTTCTGCTGGTTTCCTCTTCCTTTTGGCATACTTAGCCATCAATTCCTGTGCTCTTGTCAAGACGATCTACCACTACCAAAATCGCATCATGGCCCTGTGATTTTGGTAGTCTGACTATGAAGTCCATGCTGACTTCTTCCTTAATAGCTTGCGGTATTAGCAAAGGCTGTACTTGAGGAGAAGATGCCAGGTATTTGTGCTGCTGGCATACCAAGCAATTGGCTATGAAATCAGTGACAACCTTCTTCATCCTTATCCAATACAATGATTGGGCCACCCTACGATAAGTTCTATATACCCCTGAGTGTCGTCCAATATTTGTAGTATGGAACTCAGCTAGGAGTTTAGGAATCCATACCGAGTTAGCAGATAACACCAACCTTCCTTTGTAGTGCAGTCGGTCGTTCTCCATTGTAAAAGCAGGATGGGAATTAGAATTTGCTCTTTCTTCCTCTATTATCTTCTTGAGCACTTTATCCTCCTCAACCTCCCCCAACACCTCCTGAAAATCCTGTCAATATGGTCTGGCTATAATTCTTAATTCCACCTCCTTTTCCTGCTCTTTGTCTTCTCGTCTCCTTGACAATGCATCAGCCACCCTATTAGTCATCCCAGATTTGTAAACTATGTCAAAATCATACCCCAACAGTTTTGCCAGCCAGTTCTGTTGATTTTGGGTAGTTATCCGCTGTTCAAGCAAATACCGGAGGCTCCTCTGATCTATATGCACCACAAACATTTGACCCAGCAAGTAGGGTCTCCAGTGTTGGATGGCCATCACCAAAGTCATGAGCTCCTTTTCATAAATGGATTTATTTAGGGATCCCTTGACAGTGCCTTGCTAAAGAAAGCAATAGGCTTGTTGTTTTGAGTTAGAACAACACCCACTCCACCCCCTAATGCATCACACTCAATGTGAAACTACTGCTTGAAATCTGGTAACAGTAAAACCGGTGTAGTAGTAATGGCATCCTTCAATCTTGCCATAGCTTCTGTTGCCTGTGGAAACCATGTAAACTGCCCCTTCTTCAACAGTGCTGTCAAGGGTCTGACAAGCTTCCCATAATCCCTCACAAACCTCTTGTAATAGCCTGTGAGACCCAAAAACCCCCTTAAAGCTTTAAGGGTCCTGGGCTCTGGCCATTCCTCCACTGCCACCACTTTCTCTTTATCCATCTCCACCCCCTTTTCTGAAATTAAATGCCTTAGGTATTTGATCTGCTTCCTCCCAAATTCACACTTCCTTCCATTTGCCACCCACTGGTGCTGTCTTAGTGTATTCAACATTTGCCCAAGATGTTTCAAATGCTCCTCCCACTCCTGACTGTATATCAGGATATCATCAAAAAATACAAGCACAAACCTCTTTAAGTATGTTCTCAGTAGATCATTCATCATACTTTGGAATGTAGCTGGCGCATTGGTGAGGCCAAAAGGCATCACATGGAACTCATAATGTCCTTGATGTGTCCTAAAGGCCGTTTTCTGGATATCCTCCTTCCCCATCCGAATCAAGTGATACCCAGCCTTCAAATCCACTTTGGAGAAGTATTTTGCCCCCCTCAATTCATCCAATAATTCCTCTATGACCGGTATCGGGAATTTGTCTGGAATGGTGACACGATTCAAGGCCCTTTAATCAATTTAGAAGCGCCAATTGCCATATTTTTTCTTGACCAAAATCACAGGACTTGAATAAGGACTAGTGCTTGGTCGTATGATCCCCACTCTCAACATCTCAGCTACCTGATTTTCGATCTCCTCCTTCATCACATGAGGATATCTATAAGGGCGGACGTTAACTGATCAGTCCCTTCTTTGAGCAGGATTCGGTGGACTACATTTCGAACTGGTGGAAGGCTCCTGGGCTCATTAAAAACCTCTCTGAAATCTAACAAGACTCGCTGCAATTCTTCCGTTTGGATCCCTGTTAAGTCTGGACTTGTCTCTGCTGTCTCAGATTTTATCTCTACCTTTGCCAAAGTCCATACCAAAGTCACCGCTCCCACCACTTTCATTTTCATTAAAGCTTTCGATTCCACTGTTTTTCGTGCCAAAGTGGGGTCCCCTTTGATCATTACCTCCTTCTCTCCCTGCTTATAAACCATTTTTAATTCGCCCCAATTAATAGTTACTTCCCCCAACTTGGCCAACCATTTCATCCCCAAAATTAAGTCTACTCCTCCTAATTCAAATAAATAAAATTGTTCCATCACCTCCGTTTCACCTATATTTATTGGAACTTTCCTGCAACATCCTCTAGTTTGTCTTTTCCTCCCATCTCCTAGACTTACTCTATACGGTGGGGTATCTTCCACTGGTAAACCCAACTCCTTCACCAGCCCTGTTGCTATAAAATTGTGGCTAGCGCCACTGTCAATGAGGACTAGCACCCTCTTGCCCAGGACCCACCCTTGTAGCTTCATGGTTTTGTGCTGAGTAAGTCTGCCAGCGGAAAATGACGACAACTCCATGCGTTTTTGCTCAGCCTCTCCCCCAACTTCTTCATTTTCATCACCGTTGATTTTGTCTTCCCCCATGATCACCACCCGCAAGCTTCTTTCTGTGTAACGATGTCTTGGACTATAAGGGCCCCCATAATGGAAGCACAACCCCTCTTCCCTCCTCCTGACGTACTTGGGCTAAGGCAAATTCCTCACTCCTTTTCCACGACCGTAGCTGACGGTGCTACTTCCAGCTCGGGACGCTGTCGTTCCCTGAGGAACTCCTCTTCCACGACCGCCATGGCTGCCGGCGGCCCCCTTAAAGTCTCTTCTTTAACATGTGTTTTTAATGGGCTCCAATTGCCCTAGTCAAGTTCTACCTTAGAATTCTGGCCTTTCTCCAATATTATTGTGAGAAATAGAGAAGATTGGGAGAAAATATCCCTTGTGTCTTTTGCATACACATAGGGTAGTTTATTTATAATGTAAGATATGGGCCAATGCCCTTAATACAGAATAGACTAAGCCCAAATAACATAAACACACATCTTAGCCATTGCTACAGGTCGAGGAGGACGCCCATGAAGCGCATAACATCGATCAATTTTGTTGCCTAACTTGCCACAATGGTCACATTTTGGACGTCCTTTACTTGGCTTGCGAGACCGACTTCGATCATCACGTTGGATAGTCATAACTGAGGAATCATCAATATGAGGAGATGTCTCAGTGACTGGTTTGCTCGATATACGCAAAAGAGAAGAACAAATAGAAGTAAAGTTGGGTATGACAGGAGAACCCAAAATCTGATCACGAACATGAGAGACATCATCAGAGAATCCGTATAATGCCAACAACATGAAGAA